ATATATATATATATTTTCTTGTTGTCTTTGTCTAACCATTCAACGTTGCTACCATCCGTGCGTCACTGCATGGGTGCCCACTGAAAATCAGTGCTGGGTAACCTGTATGCCTGGCTTACACTGAGTGGGTCACCCTTTTAGCATAGGCATGTTGTCAGCGTCTCTTTTCTAATTCTTCTGTTTCAATTTTTCAACTCTTATATTTTTATTACTTCCACTGTCACACCTTGATTGTCTTTTTTTTTATTTTATTTATGTATGCTGCATCGTGCCTGGTGCTAAATAAATGTTTTTTCTTTCTTTCTTTCTGTCATCCTCGCGGAGTCGTCGAAGCCCACGATGCGCAGTTCTGCGCAATTCGTTGGCCGATCGACACGGACGCCGTCGTCGGCGAGTGCCGCCCGCAGGGAAGCCGCGAGCAGGTCTGCCTTCGGGCCGCTCTGCGCGCCTGGCAGCTCGATGATCCGAGCGCCAGTCGCGGCCGTCCTGAACCGTCAGCCCCCAGTGAATAGGTACAGTGAATTGAATGAATAGGTACCCGTAAAAGTAAATAAATACATATCACTGCTCATCACTGCTGAGTAAATTTCACAGGGTTAATTGCTTTACCTACAGGAAGAAAATTTATTTGATTCATAATTTTGTCTTTTGGCCATAAATGAAAACTTATCTGAATCTCCGTAAGTATGCAATTAAAATGTAATTTTAATTTAATAATGTCGGAATACTGAAACGCTACTCAATTTTAAGTCGTGCTTAAGCGTAGTTCTATCTCTACAAATTCTTTGTAAAATGACAGAGATGGCACGATATTTGAGCACGACTTAAAATTGAGTAACGTTTCAGTATTCGGGCATAAGACCTACAATTGTAACACCTATCTTTGTCAAAAAGGGTATAATGTGGGGTGAACGGAACCCTGGTCAAATTGATAATTACAAAATATATTGTAACACTAAGTTAAGGGAAATTAATTTTCCAACAGAATTTGTAGATTGTGCTAACAGGTTCTGTGCGAATGTTCGTCACAAAATGGTATTAGATGAAATGTACAATTAAATTGTGTGTATACTTACCGAAGCTGCCCAACATCCTAGTAGTGGGGGTGCAAAACGGGGAACAGGGGGTAAACGTGTTGTAGGTTGGAATAGGCATGTTAAGCAGGCTCACGCGAATGCCCGGCTTGCTTTTCAATTCTGGAGTGTAGCTGGTAAACCAACTTCTGGTCGTTTGTATAGACACATGTACGATACGAGAAAAATGTTTAAATCGAAGTTAAGATGGTGTCAGAATAACCAAAACCAAATAAAAATGGATATTCTAGCCGAAAATCACAAATCCAAAGACTTTTCAAGGTTCTGGAAAAACACCAACAGGTTGAATCCCAGGCCGGGTGTACCCGTGAGTGTGGCGGGGCAACATGAACCTACAACTATAGCTAATTTGAAAGAAAGAAAAGAAAGAAAGAAAAATCATTTATTGAGCACCAGTCACGATGCAGCATAAATAAAAAAAAAAGACAATCAAGGTGTGACAGTGGAAGTAATAAAAATATAAGAGTTGAAAAATTGAAACAGAAGAATTAGAAAAGAGACGCTGACAACATGCCTATGCTAAAAGGGTCACCCACTCAGTGTAAGCCAGGCATACAGGTTACCCAGCACTGATTTTCAGTGGGCACCCATGCAGTGACGCACGGATGGTAGCAATGTTGAATGGTTAGACAAAGACAACAAAAAAAAATATATAATATATATATACATATATAATAATGCATCTGCACACCCACCACACACACATATACATACATATACATACACACACACATATACATATACATACATATACACACATACACAAATATATGTGCAATAAGTATGCAGATACAACAATGGTATACTTATCAATATAATAAATATAAAAAGTAATGTAAAATAAAATAAAAAAAAAGAAAAATGTTAATAAATAGTACACATGACACAAAGAAGGACATAGAACAGCCAGTATGTCTGCGTTCTGTATCATTCATACACTAAACTGGCTAGAGTTAAATGATAGACAGATCAACATTAATTGCAGCCTTGTCTTTTTGTGAAGTTAAAATAAACATTTTAAGATTGTATTTGAATCTATTTATACTTGGTGAGTCTCTGATTGGTGGAGGTATATTGTTCCAACATTTGGACGCTGCGTACTGAAAACTGCCTCGAAATGCTGCTGTTTTATGTTGAGGTATAGCTAGATGCTGTGCACACTGCCTAGCCTCCCGCTCTCGGTGAGAGATGAATTTGTTTGTGAAACATTTTAAAGTCGAGTCCCCGCTTGGTCTATCATCGCAGGCAGTCGATGCTGAGGATTCTTTTACGGACTTAAACTGTCAAACACCAAGCGGTCACCGGTGGCCGCAACCTATTGTTCTATAATTGTGTCTACAAAACCGGAACTCGACGAGTTAAATGTCAGGTTTACAAAGAAAGATGTTGCTTCCGTTATAAAAAATATGGTTAGGGGGAAATCGCCGGGGCATGACAACCTCAGCATCGAGCACCTGCGGTATGCGGGAGTTCATCTACCCAGGGTGCTGGCGATGTTCTTCTCGCTCTGTCTAAGCCACGCTCATCTGCCAAGCGATCTAATGAAAACTTTAATTGTACCTATTTTAAAGAATAAGACTGGAGACACGTCTTGCTACTATCATGGCTAAGGTGCTGGACGGTTTGCTTGATAGGCATATGTCAACCCGTATAGATTTGCATGACGCGCAATTTGGTTTCCGACCAGGACTTTCCACAGAAAGTGCCATACTATCTCTCAAGCATACTGTTCAGTATTATACGTCTAGGAAAACGCCTGTTAATGCGTGTTTCCTGGACCTTTCCAAAGCTTTTGATCTGGTGTCGTATGACTTGCTGTGGCAAAAATTGTTAAATGATACAACGGTGGCTAGGGGAGTTATATCAATGCTAAGATATTGGTATAGGAATCAAATCAATTGTGTTAGGTGGGCCGGCTCGTTATCGGACGAGTATGGGCTGGAGTGTGGAATGAGACAGGGCGGATTGACCTCGCCTTGCCTCTTCAGTCTGTACATAAACCGGTTGATCGCCGAGCTCAGCAGCACCTATCAAGGTTGTTATGTAGACGGAACATGTGTCAACAATATTAGTTATGCAGACGATATGGTGCTGCTGAGCCCATCGATCAGCTCAATGATGAGCCTGCTAAATATTTGTGAAAAATATGCGGAGGCCCATGGGCTCAGATACAATGTAAGGAAAAGTGAAGTATTGGTATTTAAGGCAGGCACTAAAACATACCCGATTGCAACACAGCTGAAACTTTGCGGAAGTCCTCTAAAGCAAGTCACATCGTTCAAGTACCTGGGCCACTGGGTTTCCGAAGATCTAAGAGACGGCTTAGACATAGAGCGTGAACGCAGGGCGTTGGCTGTCCGCTGCAATATGTTGGCCCGCAGATTTGCAAAATGCTCGACTGACGTTAAGATAACGTTGTTTAAAGCGTACTGTCAGTCGTTCTATACGTGCGGTCTGTGGGTCGACTACACGCGGAGGGCATACAACGCTCTGCGAGTTCAATACAATAACGCATTCAGGGTGCTGGTGGGGTTGCCGCGGTACTGCAGTGCCTCTGGCATGTTCGCAGAGGCAGGTGTTGATGGTTTTCATGCCATCATACGAAAACGTTGTGCCTCAATTATGCATAGGGTGCGTGTCATCCCCAATAGCATCCTGAAGACTATAGCAGACAAATGGGACAGCCCTATACTGGGGCATTGGATACGCCTGCATGCTATTGTGGCGTAAGTCATGTTTTAATTGTAACTGGTAATTTGAAGTACTAACACTAGTTTTATAAGTTGTTTGTTTACTAACCAAATGGATTTAAGTTGTCCGAAATAAAATTAAATTGCTAAATTACATTGAGGAACAACAATATTTTGTGTTTCTGCTTTTATTAATAACAGGTTTCTGTCTGTAATCGTGATATATTTGATTATGTTTTAACTTATTAACCTCAACTCGAAAACAAAGTGTCGTTCTTAGGCAACTTCAAAATTTCGCCGCTAGAGGCGGGCGGATAATCTTTGCATCGTCAATTCAATAGCAACAAAAATGACTTTCCAAAATTTCTTGCATGTGCGCGTGCGGCTTGTGGTTTACAAGGAGGTAAAATGATAATGATACCAGCTACGATAAAAATTCTCCCATCAAAGACACATAGACAATCATTAGATATAGATCTATAGATAATCTGTACTAGAAACTTGTGTGTCAAAACCTCAAAACGTCAATTATATGACATTGACTTTGACAACACATTGACATTAATTTGACAAACAGACCACAACAATCACTAAAAATTACAAACTAACATTCACCTAATGACGTAAGTACGGCATTGCAGTATATTGCGTTACGAATAGATTTATGCGCGGAATTTGAAACAATCAACTATTAACAGCTGTGCATGTACAATAACACTCAGCATTCAAGTTTATTAACAATAAACATCAGGGATCTTATTAAAATGTCGCAGTGCGGCGCCGAGAGTAGTTGAGCCGGTCCAGCAGCCCCAGCAATGAGCGCGCGGCGGCGGGCGGTCGCGGCGCGGGCGTGGCGCGCGGCGCGGCGGCGGTGGCTGGCGGCCGGCGTGCTGGCGGCCGTGACGCTGGCCGTGCTGGCGCCGCGGCTGGGCGCGCCCGGAGGCAACTACTGCATGCTCACTCAGTAGATCATACACCGCATTGCACTCCACCATGTAATTGAAACATTTTATAATTTGATAGGTTCCTCCGAGCAGTCGTGCGCCGCCCGCTTGTCCTCTTGCACGCCGGGGCGGAGTCGACAAGCGGGCGGCTCTGCTGTGTACCCTGTATTATGGTGCTCTGATGCCGACTATGACAAGTTAGTCGACAGTGGTACAAGGCATCAAGTTTGCAAGCAGGGAGCATACCTTGTCCTAATTTGGGGTGCACAGTCGGCACATGTTCAATGTTCATGCATAGCATGCTATAAGTTGATTTATTAATTGAAACATTCACATTTTAAAAACAAGTGATATAAAGTGGCAATGGAATCATTACAATATATTGTTATAAGCTCTGGTACCTAGTTGCATCTTCAATCTTATTTGCTATAGGAATGTATCATTGCAGCATAAATAATATCAATTGTAGCATTAGCCCACAGCTTAGTGCACAATGCAGTTCTCTGAGTGGCAGTGACCGCGCTGGCTCTCTCATTGTACAATAAAACTGTAATCCACTGAACCAGCTCAACATACATCAACTACTCTGCTGCAACATCTTGCTACTGTAACATGCTACACTAGTCAATCTCAGGTTGATTATATTAATAGGTAGTACAAAAACTGAAATAACTGCCTACTTTTTACTCAAGTTTTCATTTATACTTAAGTATATTTATTCATAATTACTGTGTAGAAGTAAATCTAACTCTGTTTGTATTATTAGATGTTTAGATATAATCATCATCTTTGACTAATTGATTTCGTCACTTCCTTTCTTCGATCGAAGCATAGCTAGAATGAGATATAGTGCGACAGAGCAATGTGTGTGCAGGCGGGCTGCGAGCCGAGTACTCGGCGTGGCTGTTACTCGGGTACGTCCACTACTGCGCGGGCCGCAATCAGGGCGGGCCCCGCGCGGATGACTCCGCCGGGCCCCGCGCGGGGGATTCCACCGTGGCCCGCGCGGGGGCCTCCGCCGGGCCCCACGCGGGGGACTGCGCCTGGCCCCGCGTGTGGCCCAGCCGCGCCCAAGTAGTCTGCGTGCTACACGCGCACGTGGTGTCGCCGGCCCTGGCGGCCGCGGTTGTCAGTACGTTCACGGATGGCGTGGACTACAGGATCGCGCAGGGGTGAGCAGGGCGGGGCGGGGCGCGGGGCGAGGCGGGGCGCGCGGGTCTGACGGGTGG